ATGAGGCTCATACATAAAGAATGGGACGGTTAACGAAAAAATTGCTTAAATTTGCAAATCTCTCCTGTATGATTAAGTAACTTGACCAGCTATGATATATGAAATTTTTGAGAGAGTACATCATCTTATACAAGCATGAGGCTTATTTTATGGTGATTTCTTTTCTTGTTCTCTCTTTTCTTCTCCTTCTTTTTCTAATCATTTTTTGTTATTTGTTGAAAGGTTGATTAAGCTTTGTTAAACTTGATATAATGTAGGTTTCATTTTATTGTGTGAGATTTCAACCATGTGCAATTTTGTGATCCTTAAATTTTCAACTATTATTTTTGAAAAGAAATACACAATTCATTTGCCAAAATTGGATTTTAATACTCCTCAGCTTTCATCGAAGATAGTAAATAAATGGTAAGGAGTAATAGCATTGTCATACAAAATATATATGCTAGTTGCATTATTTATTTTACATTGTAGGCTAGATCTAAATGTTAAATCTATCATAACCCCAGGGTGACTATTAATGAATAAAGTTTAGCTTTTTTATTATAGATATGAGTTTACCAGCTAAGCCCATGGTATTTGGAAGCTGATTAATTTAAATAATAACAAATATATGCTTGGAAGTATTAAAATCTATGTTAAGAGATTTCAGGGTGGAGTTTGCACAAATTTTGCTACAAGTGGCTAAATCATATGAAAATTGAAGAAATCTAAGGACAAGGAAATCAAGAGAATATCAATTGGTGCTGAAGAGATCTTAGTAAGATTTTTAGGTTCAATTGACTCATTATGTTGCCTTGACTTGTTGATTACAGTTTGATCTCACCTTTAGCGCAAGATTTTAAGGAAAAATAAATTTAGTAAATATTTAAAATTACTCAAAATTCATTTTAATATTCTAAATAACTTATAGATTAGTTAAATAATTTTTAGTCAGAAGTTTTATGCTAATTCAATCTTTATTGAGCATTGTTAAGCCCTTCAAGGCATGAGGGGTTTAGAATACTTACAAATGAGTCAGAGAAGAGATTTACGTCTCACCACAACAATGAGTGAGAGTGGGATTTTTAAACCGACTCAATTTTAGTTAATATTCCATTAATTTAGAAAACAACTTTCATGCTAAAGGTTGGACATCTTAGGATTTTGAAAGCCCAATCTTGTGATAAGTTTGGTCATTCCCTTGCAGTAAGTATGCATATTTCCTTCGGCAACTTGTAGCAATGGCTATGAAAATGGAGTTTGGTTTAGATACTAAGGTAAGAAATTTTGATATCTCTTGTAACCTCATCGATATGTCTTATCAATGAGCTTCATTTGAAGATTGGAGATTTTTTCGCTGCATACAAGAATAAGACTTGGTGGCAAGGTAATCATGATTTGAGATATTGTGATATTAGTCTTGAGCTTCGTTGCCTTTTGCAAGGGTCTGTGAAGGAATTAAAAGGTGCTGATATGTGCTCTTCGATTTGATTCACAACGATTGTGACTTTTCTGATATCGTTGATTGAAGTTCAACCATATAAATATTGGTATTGAGTGTGTAGTGCATTCAATTTCTCTTTTGTTTTACTCTGCCGAAAACTGTTCTCAATCCTAATTGACACTTTCGCATCAACATTGGCAAAGTAGTTATAACAAAATTTAATTAAGCGATGTTTTCCTTAATAACTTTTCCAGGTTCTTCACCGCAAGACAAGAATACTAGTTCTAAAAAAGAACAGAACGATCTCACTTATCTTAGTAGGCTTCCAAACTAATACAGACAATGGAAATTTAAACGCTTCAATAACAGAAAAAGAACAACAAGGTCTGAAAAGTGAATAAAAGAACTCACAAAAATCCATCCGCCAACTCAGGCTTCAACTCATTACTCTCCAAATTGACGCCAGTAACCTGAGAGAACCCAAACCCTAAATTAATCCCAAGAAATAAGCATCAGAAGAACAGAACTCGGACCAAGTGAGGGGTGACGCAGTCACCAAAAAATTCAATTTTTGCTATTGAGAGGTGAGTGAAGAAAGGAGAAGTGCATAGTTGAAGAACCTGGACAGAGACGGAAGCCATGGAAGATACTGCAGGGGCGTCGCCTCCGGCTCCGGCGTCTCGCGACGGAGAAGACAGCGCTGCGCCGGCGGGAAGTTGTGGGGGCGACGGAGGTGGCGTCGCCATTTTGTGGGATGAGGCGAGCAACTAATTAGGCTACGGCGAACTGAACGAGAAATTAGTAGCCGAGCGGGTTATTTATTGAGTATTTATAAATATTCAATAAATCAGTTGATATTTGTCAGTATTTATTAATATTTATTATATATTTTATGAGTATTTATTAATTTATTGAGTGTTTATAAATACTTAATAAATATACAATAATTTCGACAATTCCTCTTATATAATTTCGACAATTCTTCTTATTCGTACAAAATAATTTCTCACAAACGAATGCTAGTATAAGCTAGTTAATTGTCATCGTAGTTCGACAAATGAAAGAATTTATTGATCGTGAGTGATATTTTAGGTAATTATTTTGAAAGATGACAAAATTTTGTATTTTAATCTCATTTAACATAATTTTATGTTTTTGCACTCACAACCCTAAAAAAAATTAAAATTTTTAAAATTAAATATTATGAATAAGAATAGAAAAAAAAAATTAATTTAAATTTCCTATAATATTTGAAATTAAAAAATATGTTCATTGTTTATTTTTTATGAAAATAAGCTAAAAATTTTATCTAAGAACAAGTTAACCCTCTTATAGTTGATGAATGTATATTAAAGCATCTTCAAAGAGAACATATTTCAAATTTGTTCAAATTTTAATTTTAAATTAAACTTAGTTCATATAAGCCCGTTGGAGCAGGTACGGTAGAATTGCGACTTAGGATTTCACAATAAGAGTACATTCGGGGTTGCCAGATAGAATTGGCAAAGCTATCGAGAGTTGACATTGTAAGATGTGGTAGTCATTCGTTGTGGTAAATGACTTTGTGATGGGAGGAGTCACCGATATGACTAACAATATGTGAGGAGAATAAGATTTCATGGTGGGAACTTCTTTGGGAAGGCAATGAGAGGATTGAAAGCATGTGAGGAGAAGAAGAGGCTCATAGTGGATGTGATCTTGGGGCCAGCGGCAATAAGTGGGTTTCCATGGGAAGGCATCGTGGGGCAAACATGTGTGAAAGAATGATCAAAATCAAGTTTGTGCTACATTTGGATAATATTTGAATAAGATTTGAACGATGTTTGATTGAAAAGCTAAATAGAACCTTATTCGAACTCAATTTGAACATTATTCAAACCTAGTTCAAACAATGTTTGAATTCAAACAACTTTGAACAGAATTTGCTCTTGATGGGCTTCTCCACTATAGTAGATGCATGATACTTTTTTAAGAATGGTTCAGTAGAGCAGGATAGTTATGTAGTACGAGACATAAATCACTACTTTAGCCAGATATGCTCTATAGCTAGTTAGCACTCCCGAGAAGAAGTGCTACATGTTTTTGAAAGGACTTTGAGACAGTTTGAGATAGCCTCTGGTGCCATTTTATATTTATAATTTCTCTAAGCTTATGGAGAAAGCTCATCTGAGAGAATGATATGATAGCTACTTAGTAGCGATGGTTTAGTGGCGAGAAATTCGATAGTGGGTTTTTTTTTTCTGAAAAAGAGCAAATTTATGCTTGGAGATTTCAAGAGAGGTGGACTTTCAGTATCTGCAGCAGTCTCTAGTAATAGTAGTGTAGCCATTTATGATTTTATTAGTGGGGCACATGTGTACCAAAATTATGTTATAAGCCATTATGGTCAATGTTATAGGATGACTAGATAGTGCTTCAGATGCAATTAGGTAGACACCAAGTAGTAGAGTGTCTACATGCATGATTTGACAGCCATTTTTTAGCCCATATTAGAGAGCTTTATCAAACTGATAGGGAGACTGAGGGTAGTTTTGCTCTATACTTTTTTGAAGGGACCATTTGGTAGAGTTGTCTGGTTTTGTGGCAATAAGGCCATCAGACATTATTTAGAGAGAGGCGAGTAGTTTTATTGCTCATGATCTAGTTCAACCACGTGTATATAGTTTGATTGAATAGGAGAACTATGATGCTCCAGATGTTATGATATGTACAATTTATATTTTTAAGTGTATATATCCTATTTTATTTGATTCTAAAACTAGTCATTTATTTATTTTTGAGCATTTCTTTGATTTAATGTACTTGCCTTCATTATACAACTTGTTTATCTTTCTGCTATCTTATTAATTGTAGATGATATAATAAATAATAGATTTTATTTCTAATGATAGTAAGCTTTTTTATAATGTGGAAATCTAGTTTAATTTTATTACCCATTTTCTTAAATGATGTTATTTTGGGTATAAATTGATTGAGTCGGTGCAAGTCTCAGATTGATTGCTCAAAGAAGTGAGTTACTTTAATTTTGGGTAGTGAAAGTTATATATTTCAAGGAGTTAAAGGTATTTTGTCTTGTCCGATTTTTTTATGGAAGCAGATATATTATTGAAGAAGGGTTGTATGATATTTCTAGCATCAATTTAGGATAGGAGTATAAATTTTGTTTATCTTTCTGATTTCTTTGTTGTACGAGATTTTCTAGATATATTTTCTTAGGAGGAAAATCTTTCCAGAGAAGCTTTGCAATCTCTACTACAAGTAATAAAGAAGGGCACAAATTTCATATTCAAAACATTTCATATCTTGTCTTCAATGTATGCATTTATCTTCTCTTAAAACATATCCATTCCTAGTTTCTTCCCAAGCAGGGCTACTCATCATTCCAGTAATTCTAAAAATTTTGTTGTTCACCCCATCAAAAGGAAGATAATTGCAGAACTCGAACTAAACAGTATTTCAGGATTAAAAATGAGAAGCAACAATATAAATAATTACCATAAATTATTGATAATTACATAGTATAAAGATAATCACATACAATGCAACCCTTTCAATTTCATACCATCTATTCTTATTTTTGCTGCTACCCTTTTAATTCTAAATTGCAGATATGTAAGTTGTTGGGCCAAGTGGTAAATTGATGGAAGTCAATGAATGTGGAGAAATCACAATATTCATTTCAGTTCCAGCATTTGACAAGGAATTCTCTACAGGAAACACCTGCATCATCAATATTGTCAATTCAGCTTATGATCAAATAAAATGGATATTCGTATAGATATATTTGACAATGAAATCAATTTGCTGTAATGAAATAGCACCATGACCACAGCATTTTCTACTGCTTTTCATTTAAAACTAGGAAACTCCATTTCGGGGAGTATAAAATAATTCAAAGAACTTAAAAGCTGAGTATTAATATATAAACTTGAATAGATTCATACTGTCGATAACTTGAAATATATTATGAGTGAATAATTTCTTTGCATAAAAAGATATGCTATATAAGCAACACTATACCAAGGCTTCGTTTGAGACGGTTTTTTTACTGATTCTTAAAGCAGCTTTTTAGTACAAAAATTAAAATTCTTTACTAAGGCTTCATTTGGGACGGCTTTCTTTCTGCTTCTTAAAGAAGCTTTCTAGTTCATAAAAAAAGCCGCCCCAAACAAAATCAAAATTTTGTACTAGAAAGCTGCTTTAAGCAGGAAGAAAGCCATACCAAATGAAGCCTAAGTTTCTTTTAATCAGCAAGATAAAGGCTTACCAAGAAAGGATGGAAACAATAATTATCCACAAAAATAGAAGAAAATAAAAGAAAATTCGGAATTTTTTTTTTTTTCTGTTTTTCCTTGTTATGAAAGGATGAAAAGCCATGATTATCCAGAATGCATGAAGAAAAAAAATGAAACAAAACAATCTTTAACTTAACCTTATTAGGTGCCCCAAAAGAATTCTCATCCATCACATTACTGGAGGTAAGTACTGTTATTGATGATTGGGACGAGTTTATAGTTTCCTGCAATCCGGTTATAGAGATCTTCAAATTCACCGTGTTACTCCCAACGTTAACAATCTGCACAAAGATGTTATACTCATGAAGTGGGCTCAACTATTCATAGCATGGCTATTAGTCGCTTTTGACTTATTAATACATGGAATAGAGTAAATTCATAGGAAAGAAAGCAAAATGAGGATTCATAAAGCTGGCCCCAAATTGTTGGGATAAGGCTTATGAGGATGATGATGATGACTAAAGAAAAAATTAAAGTATTAGAAGGTGGCAGATATTTGTATTGTTCAACAAGGTATTGCAAATCATCACAAATGCTTCCATAAAAGAAAAGAAAATTAAGTTTCCAATGATACAAAAATAGTACATATGCTCGAGGTCTGATTAAGGTTTCGTTAGAGACGGCTTTTTTATTGCTTCTTAAAAAAGAATTTTTGTACTAAAATTCTATTTTAATAAGCAATTAAAAAAGTCGTCTCAAACGAAGCCTAAGATGATCAACCATCACGATAAAATTATCATTATATATATAAGTGCTCAGTACTGGAATGACCAATATTGTGTCTAGCCAAGCTTTATGTGAAGTTTTTGTACTAAAATTCCTTTTTAAGAAGCAATAAAAAAATCGTCTTAAACGAAGCCTAAGATGATCAACCATCACGATAAAATTATCATTATATATATAAGTGCTCAGTACTGGAATGACCAATACTGTGTCTAGTACAAGCTTTATGTGAAGAAATTTGCAACACATGGAAATAGAATTTGAGAAAATTTTTTCTTATATAAGTGTCATCGTCAATATATATGTAGATCACACACATACTTCAATATTCTGTAAGGAATTAATTAGAAATTCAAAACATAAAATTTCAATTAAGCTGTCCAAATACAATGGAATGATGAAAAATTTATCATAACATGTGTGGGATATTCAAAGAGCTGACCTTTATTTTTATGTTTTTGTTATTGTCTTCAGTGTTTTCCCAAACAATAGCAGAAGAAATTAAAGATCCTGAAGAATTAGCTTGGATTGTAGAGGGGAAGTAAATTGCACCACTAGATTCTTTAAAAAACTGTTGTACCCAATAGCTTGGAGTTCCATACTGCTGCCATGAGTTGAAGACAATAGCATCTGGATTCCACCTGGGTTGAATAGAAAATATGGGCTGAAATTCAATTTGCTTGTGGAGATGAATAAACTGGATATTAGGAGCTTCACAAACGATCACTTCTGTAAATCCCAAAATGATTTAATAAAAAAGACCGCACCAACATACATACCGCCTATCATTGTCATTGACAAAAAGAGGTGCATAGCTTGCCATTTCAACAACGTCACTGTTCAAGAAGAAGCAAAGCAACCCATCAGTCTACTCTGTAAGGGGGCCTTTTGATTGACAAAAAAGGAAAAAAAAAAGTAAAATAGAACGGAGTGTAAAAGATATGGAATATATTTGAATTTGTTTGAATGAGCATAAAATAAATTCATGAGATTATTTTTTTATTTGGTTTGAAATAAAATGAATGCAGTATAAAGCCCACGGATAATGACAGCTAGTAGTCGGTGGCAGGCACAAAGTGGCGGGCAGTGGTGGGCTACAGTGATGACTTTCAACAATGGCAACAATGAAAGTGGCGATTGGTGGTGAACGATAGTGGAGGTGGCCGATAGTGGCTGACAACAGCGGCCGATTGTATCGGAGTTTGATGGCAGAGGTCATAACAAAAAAAAAATTATTATGTATTTAAAAATCACCAAAATCTAACAATTTTTAAATACTCCAAAATTGCACTAGAATGTGCATTCCAAATACATCAAAATTTTACTCTGCATTATTATTTTTTTACTTCAAAACAAACATTGATATTTTCAAAATCCCTACATCTGGAATATTTTAAAAACCTTTTACTTAAATCAAACAACCCCTATGTTAAACCTGAATTTGCTAAGGTATGTGCTACATTTGGTTCAATTTAAAAATATCTCAAAATCCCAACTTTCACGAAATTCAGTAAATTTAATGTTGTTATGTTTTACTCATTGAATAAACCAATTTGACATCTAGAACAATATATCTGAGTTCGCATGATTGAAGGTTAGCGAATCAAATTCCATTTGCCCTTTTTTTCCTAAGTTTAAAAATCTATATATTATTTATAAATGCAAAACACCATAGCAAATGGTAAATTTTTAACAGTTGGCTGACAAGCATTGAGTTGGAGGGACAATTATGTAAATGACTTTGCTCAAGCCTATTTCCTTCCTTTTCTTCTCAAACCGACAGCTCATTTCTTGTTGAAGCTCTCAGTTTCCTCTAGTAGCAGCAGGTGGCCAGGGCGGATTTGGGAGTTGGCTAGAGGTGACGAGGATCGAATAGGAGTTGGAGCCAAAGTGGTCGGGATGTTGTTGCAACCGTGAGAGGTAAGTGTTTGGAATGACAAAGGAGCATCTGTTACCTGGAAGAGGAAGGAACATTCATTTTGCTGGCTTCTCCCATCTCTTGGAATCGCAGAAGAAGAACAGAGTTGTTTTCATCTCTAAGGGCATCTCCAAACAAACTTCATTCACCGGTTGCAGCTCCAGCGAGCGTACACCAGAATGACAAATGGAAACACATTTTTACATTTTATCTCGGCTGTGAGGACATCTCCAACCGAAAAACATATTTTCTATTTCAAAATGCAATAACAGTCATAACAAACAGTAATTCATCTCCAACCAAACTCAATTTTTAATATCAAAAAAGAATATTCTATGTATATTCTTTCTCATCTCCGTTTCTATATTTATTTTTAATCATAACCTAATATTTAACGAATTTTCAAATTAGACTCACTTATAATTTTTTTTAACAAAAATAAATATTACTCGATAAATTAATTTGAAATATAAATATAAATAAGTACCTAACAAAATAAATATTTACACCACATAAATAGAAACAAAAAATACACATGCAACTAGACATCAGAATTAGTATACTGCTCAAACAAATGATCAATTAATGCATTTTGAAATCCGATGTGAGCATCTTTATTTCTAATTTGTCCATGGCGAGCGATAAATTTTTAAAATCATGTATTATCATTCGCCACCATTTCAACCTTCGAAGGTGGCGCTTCTCTTGTAACTTCAACTGGTGCACTGAGACCGCGTTCTTCCTCGATATCATGTTATGCAAAATTATGCATGTAGTCATTATGTCATGTACCACATCTTTTCATCCAACCACAATTGCATAACATGATTGGATAGCTCTAAAGACACATTATATTTCTTTTTTACATGCTTCTTGCTTCATTGCAAAATATTGTTTCTTCGAACCACGTGACTCTAGAATAGTTTGTACGATGGTAGACAATTTTAGATATCTATTGTTAGCCAAATAATAACCCATATTATATTCTTTTCCTTGAATGACAATGGCGAGAGGAGCAATACCTTGAACGAGATTGAAGAATATGTGGGAAGACTCTTAACACATTGATATCATTATTAGTGTCAGACATACTAAAATAAGCATGCAATATCCAAAGATTATAATCCACTACAACTTCAAGAATAACAATAGGTGTTCCACTACTACCCGTATATTATTGGACCCATCCAATAGGACAATTTTTCCACTTTCATTGCATGCAATCTAAACTGCCTAGCATTCCTGAAAAACCACGTTGACGAATGTGGAGAAGCCTAACAACATCATTAATTGTTGGTGATCTTAAATATTACTCTAAAAATATCTTCACTATTGCTCGACAAAATCTCTTTACGCTTTCAATTGTGGTTGACTCGCCTATTTTAATATACTCGTATGTAACATCTGCTGGTAGTCCATATGCCAACATCTGAAATACGATTGTTACTTTCTAAAGGTGTGACAATCCAAGTCTACTGGTGCGATTCATTCATTGGTGGAAGTAGTTGTCATGAGATTTAACTGTATCCACTATGTGAAGGAAAACTGATCGACATATTTGATATCTCCATCGGAACATGCGTCATTGTACAATGGAGTGTTTGAGAAATAATCATTGAACAGTCGACGATCTGCGCTCTCCCAATCACAATTGATGAAAGCATGTCTTGTAACTGATCCGCCTACAAACACTTGGTTGTTTTGTTGATTGAGAATGTATTGGATCATCATATTGTTATTTGTGATGGCATGACATATTACTGTTTCCTCTTATTCAAGACTATTTATCAATTGGATATTGTCTTCTTCATCTAAGGACGAAGATGAGGATGACAAATTTTTTAAATTGATATTCATTTTGTGAATTAAAGCTACATATCTTTATGGGCATCGTCATTTACTAGATTGTTATTCTGGCTATTTTTATAGGGAAGGGTAAGATAAGGTTGAGCCCTAGTAGTGTCAGGTTAAATTTTTATTTTATAATCGTTTTTGTCAATATAAGAAAATTTTAGATCGAGGTTAGTTGACTGTTGATGGTAAAATATTTTGGCTTCCTTATAATTGCTCTATGGATGAAAAAGTTCTGGGAGTAGAGTTCACGGCTATGCAAGAATACACAATGTCTTAGTACTGCTAATCATTCAATTAGATAACAAAAAAGTTTTTAAGGTAATCGTTAATAGGTTGTAATGGAGCATAATTAAGCAACATTCCTGTTTATACCAGCTTTCTATTTGTTTTAAAAATGAAAGAAGAAAAATGCTAATGCAGTCTCATGATACCGGGAATTCATAAAGTTACCTGTTCCTTTCCAACCCCATAAGAAATCCAGCTTCACCTAATGCAGCTAGAAGGCTTCCTTTGCCAGCATCAGATCCAGTCACAGCATACTCACTAACAAAAGCCTAGAAATTGCATTATCATGTAAGGAATTAGAATTATACACTGTCAACAATCGCCTTAAAATTTATTAAGCATTTCATATATCATAACTGTCATACCTTTGGACCAGAACGTGATGTGTGGTCAAATTGCTTTGACATTGAAAACAAATTGTTTGAGGACGTGTAAATCTACCCAAAATCAATGCACAGTTAGAAGTCCTGATATAAAATCAGTACTTAGACTAGCTAAATTCTGGGGTTAGAATTGCTTAAACATACATGGAAATCATACATATCAGCAGGATGGTCTAATGGGGAAGACGAGCCATCACAGTTGGTAATGATTTTAATGTCCGGATAAGCAGCTTTGATGGCATAGTAGAACTTGAGGTAGTTTCCTGTCAAATAATATGCCTATTAGAACTTCCAGAGTCTTTATTTCATTCGATAATCTAGTACAGCTAATAAAAATTGATAATTAACCAGTGAGTTAAGAAACAATGACCCAAAGATAGAAAAGTATTAAATAAATGAAAACGAGTTATTTGAAAAAAAAGAAAAAAAATAATTAAATGTTTTAACTTGAAGCATATGCAGATGACTTGCAAAAAAAAACCAAGTACAAGTCAAGTATGATATAATCAAAGTGTAAAGTGAACCTTCCTGAACTTCATTTTTTGCAGGAGGAAATAACAAAAGTCATTTACAATCTCTTTGTGTACGCTTTAAACCATTATTACAAAGATATGAAATCATAGTAGTTTGCAAATTATGGAAATGTTTGGTAACGCTGTCCTACAGTTGATTTTTTGTTGTTTATATGGAAGTAGAACAAATTTCATGAGAAATTAGACCACATGAAATTAAGAAAACAAAGTATTATTAACACATTATACAAATGAAATAGCATATTTTAAGCTATTGGACAGTCATGATTGTTAAAGATAAAAGCACAAAATGGTTGGGGTAAGGCTAATGATGATGATGATGATAAAAAATAAATAAATTAATTAAAAACAAAAAAGAAACTTAGCGAAAGAAAACGACCTTACCTCGGTAATTTTTTTTCCCACAGTCTTCATTACCAACTGCCACATATTTCAGTTCAAAAGGTTCTGGATGTCCCATTGCAGCTCGAAGTAAGCCCCATGTTGAGTTAGGAGATCCTCTAGCAAATTCAATACTATCAAGTGTATCCTGCACAAAATTAGCAATTTATAAGAAACTTTTAGCTAATCCGAACCATTAAATCAAGAAAAACAAAGGTTCATCAAAAGCCAGCAAAGATTAACAATGTTAACTATTAAGGAGCCATTTGGTTGTAAATATTTGTATTGCAAATTAAATCAAAATACAGCTTATTTGGTTGTAAGAAAAGCAAATGCATATTAATCCTAATTTGAGAAATTCGGAATTCATCACCTACTTCATATTGGAATTCATTCAATTCGAGCAAATTCAAAATACATTGAAAATGTGATGCTTCACTCATTTCCACCCATTACTGTTCATCGCCTGCCATCGTCGTCGCCAACCACCACCACTTTTCACCTCATGTAGCCTACCATCGTGGTTGCCCGTCGCCACCTCCAGCCAACAACATCATTATTGTTGAACACTATCACCACACTATCAGGGACCACCCCTGACTCCATTGCTGCCAGCCACCGCCAAGTTGATGACAATTTTCCACAAAAGGCTATCTTCTTGTAAAGGTAAAAGGTGTGAATATCTGGCACCTTCTATCCATGTTACTTTCACAACATATTTTTTTACTTTGTGTTTTGTGTCATAAAGATCTAATTAAGTTCATACAATTATTATTTTTTTCAATGCAAGTCCTGATCACAACATAGTTTTTAATCGTTCTCAAATTTCCTGTAAAATTTTTATTTTGATATTATTTCGCTAAAGTTTAGTGTTCCCTTATTTTGCATCAAAAGAGACTAAATTTTACTAAAACTAAAGTTAGTTGATTGTAAATTTTGACATTTTGTATATTCTTTGTGAATCGCATCAAAGGATTATGTAAGTAAACCCTACGCCACAAGTCATCTTTAATGAAACAGAACCAGCAATCAAAATTATGAAGTTGAACTTGGTGGAGAGAAATATGTGCATTGGATTTATGAACTTTTTAAGCATGCAATAGGAACTATATGAGACTTCATTTGCAATATTTGAGCTCCTTAGTAGCTTATGATCCCACTTGAGCTTTAAAGAGGACATAAAAGTATAGAAGGAAAATAAGCCTAACCCAAAAAATAGATTTAATATTCCAAATCTAAATATTAATGCACGAGATTCAGACTGACTAACGCACAAAATTCATAAAGAAGTTAGAAGTGGAGGCAATAAAAGGTATGTCAATTCAAGCGAACTGAAAGTAAAGTGATTTTGAAAAAACTATGTTCGAGTATTTGCAGCAAAAAAAAAAAAAAATCATCACACCACACCAAAAGCAAAGGCATAAAACAAAAAGGTTGGTGTGTTTACTTTTTTTCTTCCCTATAGTATGCCTGAACATAATGTATTGCACTGAAGTAGTAGTTATTCTATTAAACTCTGGGAATGTAACACACATTAATCTTCCATCAAATAAACCAACAATAAATTTTGGACCCTGCTTGGCCTATTAATATTGGAGTATTTGTTTCTTAATACCTCCATTGGATTGATGTGATACAGTGAAGATTAATAATTCATATTTAAAAATGGTTACCAAAAGTTTCAAGCAGCAGCTAAGTAATCCTCATTCTTAACAGTCTCTTCTTGATGCAAATGTTAGGGAATGTGGACCAAAGGAAACCAAAGTTGAGATGGTTAAATATATTTTAAACCAAAAGTTTAAATCTATATGAGAGGGTCAACCACTTAGCATTTCTATACCAATATATTTTTCATCTATTTAGTGCAAGACTAATCCAATACTCTTATGTGCCTTAGCTGAAAATGCAAATAATAATAGGAGCAATAGTGACAATGCCTCAAAATACCATTGGAAGTGTCAAATTAGCTTCAATAATGAATACTAAAAAATTACAGATAATTCATTCTCTTCTGAAGAAGCAAAATCCATATGTAAGCATGAGTTAAAACCATGCCTGAACAAAAGCTAATATGTTTGGAGTAGCAACTTGATCGTTGTGGCTGACTCCTACAACAACAACAACAACAACAAGCCTTTAATGACAACATAATATATCTAATTGAAATTAAAGCTGTAATTTCAACTCATCCAAACTCTCCAAATAGAAGTACCATTGTTGACCACCCACACAGCTGAAGCGCCGAGGTCTTCTGCAAGCTGCATTTAACAAATACCAAAAACTAGTTTAAAATAAGAGTCATTTCACTTTAGGTTTGTGAATAAAACAGCAAATCAAAAGAAATGAGTACTTGAAGAAATTCGTAGTATCCGAGCCCATCATCGGTCCAATACATCCAGACGTCACCGAAGTGACCAGACCTTTCCTCCCAGGAAACCATTGTTTCTTTCCATCGAAATGCATTTCTAAGCCATTCACCTTCCACAAAACAACCACCTGGACAAAAGAAAGTTGGAAAAAGTGAAACCTATCTTGATTTGAAATAAGATGAGAATCTCATAGAAGCACTAGCTGAATAATTTATTGGGAAATAGGCAATACCTATGCAAACACTGATAAGAAAAAAACAGAAACAGAAAAGATCAGCATATAGGTGCATTGAATTGATGGCTATGTCTTGTTGTCACTACTACAGATTTCACTACGAATTGATTGTGGTGAATTTTAATCCTAATTTCTCTTATATGATATAAGATGGAAATATATTCCGTTTTAGATCTACTCAAGCGAAAACCTTTAGACTCTAAGGTTGACCTCCATAATTCAAGTTTACCTTCAACTCCCTCTCTAGTCTTATCAACAAGAAGAATCTAAAGAAAAAAAAAATCTAAGGCAGTGGAAATTATTGAAAAAAAAAATTCAAAATACTCATGATGAAATAAGCATAAATGTTTGATACCACTTCGACCGATGACTAAGTTTGTATAATGCATTCTCTTCATAGGACAAAAATTGGGTTCCAAAACTTAACATAATTGACCTGGCGCATAGGGCTTTGAATGGATTAAAAATGTAGAAATCTGATAACAAAAAAAGATGGAGGCAGTACAACAGTAGCTGTACCAAATAGATAGTAAAAACGTGGACACCCATATTCACTATCTATGCTCATTTGGAAAATCTCAGAGGCCAAGTATTATTTGAAAATTTCGTAGTACACACTTAAATATACTGTACAAAATAATAGCTCTGCTAGCAAGTAAGCAAATTTTTTAATTTATCCTGCTCCTCATCTATCATTTATTATCATCCACAGAATTGAAGGTAATGCCCGTATAATAAATATGAACTAAACTCTATATCAACTTATTTTACCTTTAACGTTATTAACTTTTTGTACACACTCTCATAGTAGAAGAACAGAAACATATCATTCACAGAAATTACATTTTTGGATAGATTGGAATAGGTTTAAACATAGATGCTTCAGAAATATATATGATCAATGTGATGATAAGAGGTATCCATATATTGGCGGATTTAGGGGGGCCCCTGAAAAAATATATATAATTTTTTTATAATTATATTATTGATACATCATCAAAAAATTAGTTTTATCGGGCACGAATCTCGAGGCAAAAGCTAGTTGGAAACTTCAAAAAATTAATTTTGGGAGCACCCGAACTCCGATTTCAGCGAGCTTACAGTCAAACTGAGCGTCTCGGAAATACAAACCCGACGACACCAAGATCAACCCAATCCGAGCCCAAATGAGTCCAAATCAAGGGCTCAAAGTGCTGTCGGAAGGTTCAAACCGCAATTTGAGTTACCAAACGGTCTCCAATTTTTACAAGCTTATACTCGAATCGAACAGCTCGACGAGACGAATCCAACGAGCCCAAGATCGCCGAATTCCGACATCTCTAAGACCTTCAAATGTCCAACGAACGGTGCACGATCGTAGGATTCAAAATCAACCGTCCATTCAACCACTCCCAACTAACCCTTGATCCTCCACCTATTTACGGGCTATGTCATTCCCAAAATCTATAAATAGAGCCCCCTCTTCTCTTGAAAGAGGACCCCCCGGAGCTTAAGGAAAAAAGAGAGAGATCGGAGATCGCTCTTACTTCTTAGCCTCCTCGACCACCGCCGGAGTTTCGCCGGACCACCGCCTAACGCCGTCACTCCGCCGGACCACCACCTGAGGCCCTGTGCTCCACCGGACCACCGCCTAACACCGTCACTCCGTCGGACCACCATCTGACGCCCTGTGCTCCACCGGACCACCGCCTAACGCCGTCACTCCACCGGACCACCACCTGACGCCCTGTGCTCCACCGGACCACCGCTTAACTCTGTCACTCCGCCGGACCACCACCTGACGCCCTGTGCTCCACCGGACCACCGCTTAACGCCGTCATTCAGCCGAACAACCACCTGACGCCCTGTGCTCCACCGGACCACCGCTTAACGCCGTCACTCAGCCGAACCACCACCTGACACCCTGTGTTCCACCGGATCATCACTTAACGCCGTCACTCCGCCGGATCATCATCTGACGCTCTACGCTCTGCCAGTCTTTCACTTGAAGCTCTCATCTTTGCCAGGCCATCATTGAAGATTCTCACATTTGCCAGACCTTCATCTAAGGCCCGAAGTTTCTGCCTTATCATCATCTAAGGCCTGAAGTCCTGCCAGACCATTACTCGACACTCGGACTTCAATTGTACAATTGTTACTTGTAATCTGATCGTCCTTAGAGACGAATCAGCCCATTGTATCCAATTCAAGTTCTAGTGAAATCTTTTCAACTGGGCTAGGCCCCGTGGTTTTTCCCCTTTCAAGGGTTTTCCACGTAAAAAATCTTGTGTTCTCTGTGTGTGAACTGGATATCCGTATAACGCTAAGACGAACAATTAAAACTCTATCGCCGCGTATATTCTAGTCCGCAACAATTATGATTATTTATTTGTTATTAAAATAGAAGCTTAGTTAATAACTTTTATCCTTTCATTCATCTCTTTACAGCTCTAACTTTTATATGAATATAAATTAACTTGAATATTATAATCAAAATTTTATCATGATAAATTAAATTTTAGATTTTATTTTAAGATAAATAAATGTAATAAAAGTTCAATGAGTTTTTTTCTGCTCAAGTATTATAAAAAATTCAATATGAAATAAAATAGGATATCAGTGGATTAAGGATACTTTAGTCACTTATATTGAGTAGAGAATATTTGATTGTATTGATAATAAAGTAATCATTCAATTTTTCAAAATACAAAGAGTGGCATAAAAAATTGTAAGTATTTTATCATCTTACATTTTATCCTTTTTAAATAACAAATTCAAACAAACAAAAAACTAAAAAGCCCATATGAAAGAAACTGATAAAATATTTGAAAAACCTAATTTGAGCTATCACTAGAAATTTTTTTTACTCCGCCACTATATCCGTTGTGCTCCTTATTAGAGCTACTTAGACCTAAGCAGACTCTTGTCAAACCCTATGACATATATAATCTTTTTCCTTTCATTAGTTTGGGTGACCGTTCTGCAGAATGAGAAGGGCGGAGGGTATTTTTTTTACCTGGAAATCTTAAGAACCGAGGTTTTAGATTGGCCACCATTGCAAAAAGCTCCTTCCTAAAGCCATGTCCCTGTACAAGTACAAAATGAAAAAAACGGTAATGAGATGAGTAGATAATGGCATCAAACAGCCATAAGGTCAAGCTCAAGAATGAGTGCAACGATTAGACCCTAAGATGACATACTCACAATACCAATAAAATTTATAGCTTGAGTAAACATTAAAAAATCTTTTTTCATTTGACAATTTGAAATTCATTATAATTTGTTACTACTCATTTCAATTAACAAGATCGGAAGCTAAGTGCCTAAGCGTATACATAGAAAGCAAAAAAGTGGTTCAGAAATCATGAGAAACTTACACCACAAGAAGTCAAAGATTAATGAATATTCCATAAGAAAATATTCCATCTTTGTTTTTATTATTATGAAAAGTTCCAAATTGATAAACACATATTTTATTGATATTGACTTCTCCAATGTCATAGGACACTGTTTAATCCAAAATTATTCTGGGGAAACAGCCTGAATCCTACTTGAGACTAGCAGTCAAATCAAGGGATATGATAATGGGTGGATGGGAGTGGTTTTGGTCCTTGTAATCTCTCAATTGAACCCTTGCAAATAATTGAGCCAAACCCTTTCATAGAGATAGGCAAATCAAGTTAAATGAGAGTTACTGAATTCAAAGAGAGGGAGATAGAGAAATTTACATCTCATGCAAGACTTAGTTAATCTAAACTCTTCTGAAGAGTATCTGAACTCTTAGAACCTGACATAACTATTAGGAGTAAAACCAAACAAACTTCAGTTAAGATTTCTTCCTATTTGAAGCATACCTTCTTCACTTGAAAAAAAATTAAGCCTTCAGAGTTTATATTATGTACTCTTGTATGAAATAACCAAAGTTAAAGAGCAAGTCAAAATTCAAGCAACTTCAGCATGATTGATTCCTAATTGAAACATAACTCCTTTACTACTACAACAAAAACAACAAGCCTTTATACCAAAATATGGGGTCGGTCACAAATAACTACTTTACTCAGGGGAAAGAAAAAAAAGCCTTCAGAATATAGGATTCATATCATGAACTAAATTCTTGTACAAAAACAAAAAAACAAACATGGCAAGAGAAGGTTTCTTCAGTTTCTGAAAACAGGCCTTTTAACATATGGTTTAAATGAGTTTCTTTAGTTACTTTAACAGGTTCTTTGAAGACTCACTTTTCTCTCTTATTCTCTCGACGTTCATAAGAAAATATCGCCATGCTTTTTTTTATTATTTTCTGTAAAAAACTTACCTTGTAAGTGTCAACAGGCATAACTGATATCTGATCAAACCAAATTATTCCTTGATTGGAAGTTGTCAATTGAAGCCTGGACTGAGCATTTGATCCTTTGGCAGTAAATAATAGCTCAACTTTTGTCCAATTAGACGTATTCAGTTCAGCTGTCCTGTAATTTAAGGGAAAGGTGAGTAGAGTATTTGATAAGTCGCGGTTTTACTTCTAAAAATTTTATACCAATAAAAGTTCTCACGTTATAATAGAAGAAGCAAGGTTCTGCAACCCATCTGTGCTTGCCAGTGAAACAGATAATTTGATTGCTGCTAATGTTCTTACGTAAAGGACAACTTTATACTGTTTTCCATCTTCAATATTCTGAATTAAAAAATTATAAAATATCAAGAGATAAACTGCCAGTAAACCATAAGCAATCAAAATGACTGATGAACAGAAAGAAATAATCAAGTGAAACTAAGGCTTCATTTGGGATGACTTTCTTGCTGCTTCTTAAATAAACTTTCTAGATCAATAATTAAATTTTTTGTACTAGAAAGCTAATTTAAGAAGCAACAAGGCCGTCCCAAACGAAGCCTAAATAAATCTCCAAGACACATGAAGGATTCTATTCCACTAGAAGCAACGAGGATTTCTCAAAGATGAAAAGTGTTGTGGCGACCATTATCAAAGGTCTTATCCTCATATATGGCTTGAAACAAGATCCACATAGCTTATGAAGTAAGCACAATTAATTAATGATAAGTAGGAAAAACTGATCTTATTTCAGCATAATGAAGCTAACATAAGTGCATACCATTCCCCAATACCCAGGGTTATATATGCCAACACCACCTACTGGACAGATAATAGATCCCTCATTGCCACATAAAACTTCCATACGAAGTGCCACCTTATTACGCTCAAAACAAGATGTTCGATCAGTCGTCACAAAGATTGTAGAGTCATTCCCAATGATAGACCAAGGGTCAATGTTTGAAGGGGTATTAGGGCCCCCAGCTTCAAAGCCTGCAAAAGGATTTAAAGGAATCAGAACTAAGAGCACATAATGAATCAATAGAACTAGAAAACAACCCTCACTGACACATCTTCATCAATATCGGACCTGCGAAGAACTATTTCATAATAGGCAGATCTTTTAGCATTAATTTACATGTCATAAACGTGTTTATAATGAGGCATGCTTGCATCTTGATCTTCCATAGAGACTCTAGTATATTATAAATAATCATATCACCATGGAAAAGTTTCCTAGAAGCTGCAGAGATCATTCCAAGGACTTCGAAATTAAGACAGCTTTCCAACAACATTTACCATTGAAAAGACGAGAAATATATAAGGCTTCGTTTGGGATGGTTTTCTTATTGCTTTTTAAAGCAGATTTTTAGTGCAAAAATTAATATTTTTGTACTAGAAAGCTGCTTTTAGAAGCAGGAAGAAAGTCGTCCCAAACAAAACCTAAATCTATATCCCCTAAAACAAAAAAAAGGCAAGATTTAAAGCCTTGCAACAATATAAATCAGTATCAAATCAAGTAAAATGTTTATGGATATCTTCAATTACTACTGCTTCTCATGCTCATCATTTTGATAATTAGACACTTTCGACACACCTCTATTACTCACAAGTTCTGCCCATAGCCCCCCAGCTCCAGCATGATTTATCTCCTGTAAATATAAGAACAAGGACTCATCACAAAGTGGATCAACTCTGAAAATTTATCTAGAAGAAAAACAAAATGAACACCAAGAAAAATGCTAAGGATGTCACTTTCCTGATTACTTTACATATTTTTAAAACCATTAGGCTGAAAAAGTAAAGTCTAGCTCATATCACGATATGATTAATACAATCAGCTGAATTCCATTTACCATTTTTTTTCAAACTCCACTATCCTTTAATTTTTCTAACTTCATAAAACAGCTCTAGTGAACAAAATCAACAAACAAAACCCTGCAGTGAACTCACTGGAAAGGGAACCGCTCACCTCAAAAAAGACACCAAACAGCGTATCTGACATCTTCCTTCCAGAATGCGAGGAAGCATTCACCGCCAAGACCGCAGTTTGGATATCCTCCAATCCATAAGCTGAGCTTCGGCGTAAATCGGACATAATAATTAGAGTACAGAACAGAGTGAGAATACAAACATCCAAAAACCCCATTTTTCCCTCACGGCCCATCTCATCGGCAGCGATTCACAACCTCGAATTCAACAACAACAAAAAAAAAGCATAAATCAGCGATAGGATGCCAATACAAAAAAGGATCCGAATCGAAAAAGATTCAAACTTTGGTTACCGAATCAGCAGAGAATTTGACAGTGATGCGGAAACTGGTCTGGGGGCGCCAGGGTTTAAGTAGGGGTTCAAGAATCGAGCTGGGGGTTGCTTGAAGCCATTGCCGCGGGAATCATGCCTGGCTCATGGTGGACTGTGTGGATGGCGAAGACGACGACTGCGGTGGGGTCCATCTTCGTTTTTTGACCGTCGGATTGGGGATCGAACGGAGATTAGAGGGGTTAGGATGCGATAGTCATCTACTCCACGTAGCGTTGCTTGCAAGGCTCACTGAAGTGAGGATTTGGCGAAAGAATTATGTTCTATTGCACGCCCACGCCCAAATATTGTTATTCTGGGATCTCAAATTAAGCTTACAAGCTTCGCCAAGATTTCCATAGTTCCATATAAGAGAATTTAGCTTCTTTTGGACAATTATTTTATTATTTTTAAATAATTTTTTAATCTAAAAGCTTTTTAAAATTTTATTTTATAAAATAATGAAAAAAATATCCCAAATGAAACCAATCAAACACATGAATATTACAAAATTCTTCCATATTAGTAAATTTAATATTATATACTTAGCTATATAAAAATTTTATTAAACTATATCAAAATAACATTAAT